CCTCCTGGTCCTGAGCTCACCTCCTGCCCATCACTCACTGCTCGCCAAGTAGGCAGTTCCATCTCAGCTCGTCCTACTTCCATTCCATGCACTGCCCTCATCTCTCAGCACATCTGGTTTGAGCCCCGACTGGGGACTGAACATGCAACCCAAGCATGTGCCCTGACCAGGAATTGAACTGGTGACTTTTCGCTTTGTGGGACGATGCCCAACCAACAAAGCCACACCGTCTTGATGGCAGGATCTATGCTCTGGCCCCATCAAGTGTTTGAAACAGAGCACGGAGCTGAGTGCACAGAAGAGGCCCAAGAAGTGCCTGTGATGGAAAGACCATTTGTGGGACTCCAGGCCAGAAGGTGGAGAGGCCACTTTTGCTGTGGGCGCATCAGCACCTCAAGCTGAGCTCTAAGGAAGATGAGTCATTCCACCCCTCTCTATCCTGGCATCTCCTGAAGGAAAACCCTTTCTTGATTTCTACTTTTGGAAGCCTGGAGAATATTCTGGGGAGATAGCCATTGAGGCTAAACCCTCTGAAAGGCGTCACAATGGGAGGGTCACTCGTGCTTGTAAACGGCCATCACTAGATGACCGAAGGCGGCGATCCAGGCCTCTGCACTGAAAGGGAGCAGAAAATCAGAGGCAGGGGTGACGTGGTAAGAGCAAGCCAATGGGTCTTCACAGAGAAAAAAGGCAACCAAGCTTAGCAAGAAGTGGAGGTGGGCACGTCGGAGTAAACAGCGGAGAGGGGACAGGGCGGGAGAGAACAAAGAAGCCACACACAGTCCGTGCTCCCCAAGGCCCCGGTGGATGCAACAGCAGGTAAGGGTTGGGGTGCAACCACCACAGGGCCAATCAGAGGGGCAGACACACCAAGTGGGTCTGATGGCTGGCACACACTGAGGCTGGGCCTAGGGTCAAGGGTCAAGGGCAGAGAAGCAGAGCAAAAAGTTGCAGTGCTCCATAGCCTGTCTGTAAGGGACCAATGACTCAGGAGCTGCCCACCCTGTGTCCTCTGTGGCTCACGGGGCTGTAAAATCCTCACTCAGCAGATCACAAAAGGGCTGAAAAAAACTTTCCAGACTAAGCTGTCTGTATTCCTTAGAGCTAAACCCATGAGGAAGAGCAGAACCTCAGATCTCTGAACCCTCTTCCCCACACCTAACCTTCCACCCCACAGGGGGTGCAGCCTGGCAGAGGTAGATGGGGCAACTCAGAACAGCTCTGATGGTGGCTTCTGGCTGCAGGAAGCATGCTGGGAACATGGTGGCCAGAAGACCCATGGCCCACCACTTCTAGTCCAGGGGAAGGGTTCCCAAGACTGAGAAGGAGGAGTTGTAAAGGGCAAGCCCACCTCCTCAGGGAATGTGACTGTTTCCCCCTGTCAAGGTGACAATGCCTCACAGAGTCCCCAGAAGCCCCAACAGTGCAGGTAGAACAAATACCCTTTGTGTTTCAGTGCCACCTACTAGGAAATGAAAGACCTCTAGTCATCAACATGCAAAACAGTGAGGCATCAAACACTTTTTAAAAACATATTTCAGCCCCACAAACACCCAGACAGAGAAAAAATCCTCCACCAAGAACAATGAATAGGCAAGGTAACACAGGAATTCAGAAAGAAGGTAAAAACATTTGTTTCTAAATCTGTTTTCTGGCCGCACTCACATGGACCAAAGAAGAAACATTAAGGGAGCGTCTTCTTCCATAAGCCACGACTCAGCAGCCTGCCCAGTGGTCCGCAATGGCCCAGCCTGGACAGTGGGGTGCAGGCCAGGTGTGGGCCTTGCACAGCTGGGCCCTGAGTTTGTCACTGAGCCTGGGGTTCAGGTCCAGGTCCCCAGGGGTGGGCCATCACTGTGCAGACTGCCCACTCTGTGAAATGGGCATCTAAGAACTGAGGCGGATCCTGGCTCCCGGGGTCGACAGTGTTATGAATGAGACGAGACAAATTCACATGGACCACCGAGTCCTGCGGAGGAAAAGGGATGGCACGTCTTCTCTCTCAGGGGGAGAGAGCCTCGTCCCTTGCCTTGAAAGGCTTTTATTGGGTTCAATTTGCACAGGAATACAGGGTGTACATGGAAAGCTCATCAATCATTGTCAGGCAGAAATGATTAAACAATAGATAACATTCTAAGAACTCTGAGGGCTTATTCTGAGTCAGGGTCAGATAGTTAAAGGGCCATAAAACTTTGGGGAACAAACTCACTTCCTGCTGAGACCTTTATTTAAATGGAGGGTATTAGCAAAGTAGGTTTCATAGGATTTTATGCATTCTTTCTTAGGCCTAATTGCCCTAGGTAACCCGCCCTTTCCAGCACAGGGCAGCACCCACCTCCAGCATCGTTTCAGGCTTAAAGCATTGTTTCAGGTATAAGTCAGGCAGGGGAAGTAAAGCAGTCAAGAGATTAGGAGACTTCTTGCAGACAGGATGAGGGCTCGGGCTACGTCAAAGCCGAGAGGCGAGGGTCCATCACCCCCTTTTTCTATAGCCCCCCAAGGCCTTCCCTGAGGGCCTCTTTGCAACCATGCCTGTCTTAGGTTGGCCCTCTTTTGAGGAATCTTACCCGTCATTGGCTAACCAGTCATCCACCTGGAGCCAAGCAGAGTGAAGAGAAAGGGGGCAGAGGTGGTGCCCCTACCAGGAAGATAAGCTTTGTCTCCTACGTGGCTTATGGTCCCATGGTCCTTTACTCAGCCTTAGCCACAGGGGATTACAGCTTCTGAAACCAGGCAGGGCAGTTCCCAACAAAGAACCACTGCCTGCCTTAAGTGTAGAATGACAGAAGCAGCATTACAGGGACTTGCAGTTTGCACAGGGCCCTGATTGTGGAATGTGAGAAATGGTCCCACCACCACCCTTGTACTTGGTCCTGTAACATTACACTTGGTTAAGTCTAAGTGTGCACCAGGCTCGAAAGGGCAGAACTGCATGTGACCACTTGCTCCAGGAGAGGAGGCAGCTGAGGGGTAGATGGCTGGACGCTCAGAGATCCGCCCTCACGGATCTCTGAGCGTGCGGATCTCTGAACGTGTCACCTCCAGAGACAGAGGTGAGCACTAGAGGACCCAAAGGGAAGGCTGAGACAAAAGTGACAGGTGCAACTAGAACCTGGCCCATCTCAGAGCTCAAGTCAGGAGAGGAGAGTGGGTGACTCCCTAGACTAAGGCTTCAAATTCTTCAGGACCTAGAATACCTATAACCCACCTGCCTGGAGGTCACAGATTTGGCCTCTGGCTTTTGCTTTTCTCCCCACCCTCCCAATTCTTCAGGCCATGCTAGAGAAGGAAATAAACGTCCACGGTCCAAATCAAAGCTTTCCCAGCCGCATTTCCGGCCCCCGGGTTAGGGAGGAATATTGTCCTTTGAAACCCACGGGCTTCCCCACTCCCGCTCGTGCACAGCCCTTCAAACTCCCCGCAGGTTCTCAAACGACCAGAGGATCCCTGTGTCCCACTGAGGGATGGCGGAGTCGGCAGAGAACCACCAGGCAGCCCTCGCTCGGCCCTCCACCACCCCACCCTCCCCCCTGAGGGCAGGGCTTCCCTCCCTCGCTGTAAAACTCGGTCACAGAAGCACTAGCCACCTGTCCCGCGGGCCACCCAAGTCAGAACCGCGGTAAAATAAAATGAGGTCTCACGCCACTGCGACCTCTCCACCCCACCGCGCCGCCCAGGGATGTCGCAGTCACTCCGGGCGGCCCTCGCCTCCTCCGCGCGGTCTCCCCTCCGCGTGCGATGCCACACGCGGGGCCGAAGCCCAAGGCCAGGGGCTGAAGGGAGGCCCCGCACCAGGAGCCCACGGGAGCCAGGGACCCGCACGCCGCGGCCCGCGCGCCCACGGGCCGCTTTCCTAGGAGGCGCCCAGGGCTCGGGCTCAAGCTGTTCCGCACCCCCTCCCCGAAAGGCAGCGGGGAGCTGCCGCGACCCCCGCTCGGGATGGGCGGCGGGCGCGCCGCGGAGTCTTCCCGGGCTGAGCACGTGCAGGCGCGCGGGGTCTTCGCCGCGTGGTGCGCGCCCCTGAGCCGTTAGGTGCGCGCGCCTGCCCGCAAGGGCTTCCAGTCCGTGGGGCGCTCGTTGGCGGTACCGCCGGTGCTTGGCCAGCGCTGCGTGGCGCCCCAACGTCCGCGAATGCAGAGCAGATCCAGGGGGTCCCTTCCTCGGCCACCAACACCACCCCCTTCTCCCCCAGCCCGAACAAACCCGTGCAAGCTGCCGCCTCCCCGGGAAAGGTCGCAGCCAGCCAGTCCCGCGCCCCCCACCGCGGAGAGCCGGACCCCCTGGGGTCTTAGCAGGGGTGTCGGTCCCAGCAGTCTCTCCCTCAAGTCCAGGAAGCCCAGGATCCGGAGGCCTTCAGGATGGAGCCGAGACTGGGTGTGTTGCCGCTGTTCAGGTTCATGGTATTGGTGCAGATGGAAAAATATTCACGGAGCCATTGGGATGTCTGGCAGGCCTTTACTCATGGGTGGGAGAGCCACGCACACTGCAAGCTGCATGTGCGTGTCTATCTGCGTGTCTCATGTCGTGGCCCCTGCTCCCCAGCGTGGCCCCTGTCCCCTTGCGTCTCTCTCATCCTCATGGCCCCCAGCAGGGAGTCCCTACCTGTTTAAGTACTAAACAGGAACAAAGCTGGGGAACTGCCAGAACATTATGTAACATAACATAATTCTGTGCATGTGAGCTCACTTCATGTCATGGGAACAGTGTATCAGACCCAGTCTCAAGACTGTGAGAACACTAGTTACCAGACCCCTCCAAGGCTATGGGAACACTGCTCCCTGTAGTTTCCCCGACACCTGGGTGAGGAAGCCAGACTGCCTCCACTTACCCTACCCTGGGGGTTCAGTTAAGTGAAAGCCCAGCGATTGCTGAGGCGGGGCCTTGGCCCTCACCCAGGCCGGCCCCCATCCGGTCCCAGGGTCCTCCTTGGCCCAGGGTGGGCGGGCGCCTCCCCTGCCGCTGCAGCCTCGTCTCTCGGACTAGGAGGCTTCGTGGTCCGCCTCAGGCCCCTGGGGCTTGGCCTGGGTCTCCTTGGCCGCCGCAGCACCGTCCCGCAGGGCTGTCCCCAGGGCTCTCCCTTCCTGCCGGGTGCGGAGCCGCCTCTCCCAGCCCGCGTCCGCCTCCCTGGGGGCACTGCAGCCAGTCCCCCCTCTCTTCGGAAGATGCTAATCTAGAGGTCGAGAGAGGTAAGCACATCAATGACTGTGGACGGCATGGAGTGACAGGTGTCCTAACTGACGTGCGCTCGGGGGAGGGAGCGGGACCTAATCCTGTCTCCGCCTGTGCTCAGCCTAGGGGAAGAGGTCGCAGAAGTAACCCCACAGGCGAAGTGCTGTTCAGGAAGTACCCTCGCTGACTGGGCGGGGAGAGACCTTTACATCCCCCCTTGGCAGTGGGGGTGGGGGTGTGGGTTGCGTTTCTGCTCATCCTCCCCCTCCCTCGTTGTCGTTTACCAGTTGTTTCTAGCGCTTCTGCTGAGCTGTGCGGCTGTATGTCGTTTGGTCTCAGTTTGCGTTCATCTAACAACTGATGATATGCCGCATCATTTCACGTACTAATTGTCGATTTCTGTATCTCTTTGTGTGTGGGGGGCAATGCCTATTTGAATCCTTTGCCATTTAAAAATTGAATCATTTGTCAGTTTATTGTTGAGCTGTAACTGATCTTAAAAGATTCTGGGATACTGTCCCCTTATCCGATACCTGCTTTGCAAACCTATTCTCCCGTGCTGTAGGTTGCTTTACTTTACTTACGGTGTCCTTTGAAGTACAATTTTTACTTATTTATTTATTTTTAGAGAGAGGGAAGGGAGGGAGAGAGGGAGAGAAACATCAATGTGTGAAGCATCAATGGGTTGCATCTTGCACGCCCCCTACCGGGGGCCTGTAGGTTTACATACTCTCCCTCTTCTTAACACACACCTTTTATTATTTTTTAAGGGGCTCTCTGGAGGGAGATGGAGAGGCGCTGATTGGTCTTCCTAACCGAATATTTTGTGCACATATTTTTAACTAGTTGCAATGGAGTGTGTACATTCTGTCTTGGCTCTTGTTTCCACTTCTTCATTTAAGCATGTCCTACATTGCTGAACTTCGTCATAATCATTGTTTGTACTTGATCATGACCATATTTTTAGTAAAACAGTTTGTTGTGTTCTTATTATTACTGTAATGTTATTATTTTAGTTCCTGCCTCCTTTGCTTTCTTCACCCTTCCCTCCACGCTGCCGTCATGTACACTCACCTTTCCTCAGGTAACCAGTGCCAACAATGTTGACACTTTGGGAACAGTAAGTGTTAAATTTTTTCCTCTGGTCCATCTGTCTGAGTGAAAGCTATCAAGAATATTTTCTCAAGAGTGGGTGGCACTGTCATCAAGAGAGTAATTTCACGTGCATGTGGGTTTTCCAGGAAATGACGTGGTTTCGGCTGTGGGTGAGGTGGTGTGCAGTGTCCATCCAGTGGCTCCAGCGCGGGCATGTCCACCTTGGTTCCTAACTGGGAGTGAACTGTATGCCCTGTAATAATTCTTCTGATTTGAATGAAATAATCTGCAGCTATTTCTGCAACCTTTTCTCAGTCCTAGAAAATAAAGCACCACTGCTTGCTTAACTTAGGCCTTTTCTCCACAGGTCGAAAGCATTGATGTAAGGCGTGATGGTCACACTCTGAAAGGGAACGGTGACAAGTTGAGACAAAAGGGAAAAGAAGATAATTTATAAGAGGCACTGCAGGTAATGACACCCACCAGTTGTTTAAAGATGCAGCCATCTTACCTTTTAAGGAATTAGATTAGTCAGCAGCAAATGTTTTATGTGCGCCTTTGCCCTTTCTAGTGAATGTAGCACCAGGAACACCACGCTTTGAGATTGACCTCTTCGGAGCTTTAGGAGCATCTTCCATTCAAAACTATTTTCTAAGTTATAGATATTAAAAAGTATATTTAAATAATGTTAAGATTGTGACACAAACACCAAATGACAATATTCAGGAGTTTCAGAACAGGCTTACATACTATTACTGTTCACTTAGTAACTTTTTTAAAATGATATTTTGATTTGCTATTACAGTTGTCCCAATTTTTCTTCCTTTGCCCGGCCCCACCCAGCACCCCCACTCCCTCAGGCAGTTTCCGCACCTTTGTTCATGTTCTTTGGTCATGTGTGTCAGTTCACTGGCTACTCCATTTCCTGTGCTGTACTTTACACCCCCATGGCTACTCTGTAACTTACCTATTTGTACTCCTCAATCCCCTCACCTCTTCATGCATTCCACCAAACCCCCTCCCATCTGGAAACCATCAAAATGCTCTCCATACCCATGATTCTGTCTCTGTTCTTCTTGTTTGCTTAGTTTGTTTTTTAGGTTCAGTTGTTGATAGATATGTATTTATTGCCATTTTGTTGTTCATAGTTTTGATCTTTTTTTCTTAAATAAGTCCCTTTAACATTTCATGTAATAATGGTTTGGTGGTGATGAACTCCTTTAGTTTTTTCTTGTCTGGGAAACTCTGTAATGCCCTTTGATTCTAAATGATAGCTTTGCTGGGTTGAGCAATTTGGGCTATAGGACCCCACTTTTCATGGCTTTGAATATTTCTTGCTAGTCCTTTCTAGCCTGCAAACTTTCTTTTGAGAAATCAGCTGACAGTCTTATGGGAACTCCCCTGTGGGTTACTGTTTTTCTCTTGCTGCTTTTGAGATTTTCTCTATGTCTTTAAACTTTGGCACTTTAATTATGATGTGTCTTGGAGTGGGCCTCTTTGCATCCATCTTGTCTGGAACTCTCTGTGCTTCCTGTACTTGTGTGTCTACTTCCTTCACCAAATTAAGGAAATTTTCTCTCATTATTTTTTTATTTTTTCAAGTAGATTTCCAATTTCTAGCTCTTTCTCTTCTACTTCTGGTACACCCGTGATGTGAATGCTGGAATGCTGCAAGTTGTCCCAGAAGCTCCTTACAATATCCTTTTTTTTGGATTCTTTTTATTTCTTGTTGTTTTGATTGATTGTTTTTTGCTTCCTTATGTTCCAAATTATTGATTTGATTCTTGGCTTCATCCACTCTACTGTTGTTTCCCTGTAAATTGTTCTTTATTTCAATTAGCATAGCCTTTTCAGACTGAATCTTTTTTATGCCACTGAGGTCCTCACTAAGTTTCTCGAGCATCCTTATAACCAGTGTTTTAAACTCTGCATCTGATAGATTGTTTAACTCCATTTCGTTTAGCTCTTTTTCTGGAATTTTGATCTGTTGTTTCATTTGGGCCATATTTCTTTGTCTCCTCATTTTGACAGCCTCCTTATATTTATTCCTATGTATTAGGTAGAGCTTCTCTCACTCCTTGTCTTGGTAGCATGGCCTAAAGTAGTAGATGTCCTATAGGGTCCAGTGGCACAGCCTCCTCTATCACCCAAGGTGGATACTCAAGGTGTGGCCTTCATGTGGGCTGAGTACACCCTCCTCTTGTAGTTGAGCCTTGGTTGCTATAGGCAGATCAATGGTAGGGATTTGCCCAGGACAGTCAGCTGCAAGGACTGGCTATGGCCACTGACCACCAACCTCTGCCCTATGTGGAGGATCAGCTGTGCAGGGACAGGGTAGTGGTGCTCCAACATGGTCTGTGGCTTCCTATTGGGTGTACAGGCTCTGGGGTTTCCCAGGTGATACAGGCCAAGGTCATCCCCTCCTGTGTTCTGCCCAGGGCCACCCAGCATGAGCTGAGCTATACAGGAATCTGCAATGTAGTTGAGTACAGGTGGACTCTGCCTTAAAACCTTCATATGGCAGTCCTGTTTCATAAATCACTGCTGTGAAGAGTTTTAAAAATAAAATCTTGCTTTCTAAAGTAATACTAGTTACTTGTGTTTTAATACCGTACTGGATGTTAAAGGAGCAGTCAGGACCCTGGTGCAGGAGGAGGGAGAAGGAAGAAGGGAGAATCTACTCACCCAGATCCCTCCCTTTCCTGATTACCTGTCGTGATCTCACAGGGCAGGTCTGTGTTGCCTATACTGAATCTAGGTTTAACTTAGAAGATAAACGTATTAAAGTCTGTCCCACAGTTGTCTTTTTCAACACCTGTGTTGGAGAAATAAAAAATGAGGAGAGGAGCGAATTGCTTATTGGTCTTTTCTTGTTGACTCATAAAGGTGCTGACCAACCTCAAACCCTTCACAGCTCTCATCCCCTCCCTGATGGAACCACCAGGTGTCCCCTTCCTGTTCTTTTATCAGTGACTGGGCAAACAATCTTTCCTTTCTAGTATGTGTCATCTCTTATCTTTATTTTTCAAGCAGTGTTGAATTTGAGAAATTTCTTATAGTTTTCATTTGGGATGATGCTATGAAGCTTTATCTTCATTTCTGGTCTTTACTTTTCCTACCTGGTGGACCCTCTCATCTCACATCATTATTAAATCATCACAACTCTGACGTGTTTATAAATCCCAGTCCTCAGAAGTAAGAGGTAATTACACTGCCTTGTGCAGTGGTTTAAAAATGTAGAGTTGTGTGTGAAGCTTTTGGCCAAATTCTCCAAATACATTTAAACTCTACTAGTGCCCTTATTTGGATGAATTTTTAAAGTCATTATTATTATTCATACAATACTGGTTATTATTTCTATTTGATAAGAATGACATTTTTAAACAAAAATACTGAGGAAACTTTCTAAATGCACAGGAAACTATTCAAATAAACAAATTGTAATTTACTATATACCTGCAATACAATTTTTTTTGCAGAGAAACAAACTATTCTCTTTAAATATTATAGGCCAAGTCAACTTCATGCAAATTCATTTAAGAATAGTTTGAGATTTAAGTATTTAATAAAGCTGATAGAAGATCTAACTTATGTATTCAGTGTCTTTCAATGAACAATGATGTTCTCGTGACTGCCTGGAAACAAATGATGAAATTTTATTTGGTGTTTCTGCTGCATCAATCAATTCTATAAATATCTTTCTAATGGGGTACAATATATATTTTCAGTAGTTTACTGTAATATTAAGAGATAATATGTATTGAGTACTTTCTACATGCCAGTAACTTTTCTAAGTACTATCTATGGATTATCTCACATAATACTCACAGCAACACTTTAATGGCCTCACTGTTTTATAGATGCCACAGAGGCACATGAAGAGAGTGGTACACAACTAGTAAGTCATGGAGCTGGGATTCAGGCAAAGTAGTGCTACTCCAGAGCTCGAACTCTAAGTCCTCACTAACTCAAAATGTGGTTCCCAGGCCAGCTGTGTCTCTAGTACCTGGGAATTAACCAGAGGTGCAGAATCTCAGATCCCACCCCAGACCTACTGAAGATCTACATTTTTAGAAAGATCCTCAGGTTGTTGGTACCTTAAAGTTTGAGAAACACAGCTCTAAACTACTCTGCAATTCTGCCCTTACTATAGGTTTGGGTAGATTCTTCAAGTTCTCGAGGTCCCCAAAATGTCTTGAGGTTCTTTCCTTGCCATCTTTCAGGAAAATAAGCTTCATTCCTTACCTGGAAAAGCAACCATGAAACGTGACCAAGAAAGAGTACGGCTGATGCGGTGTCAGTCATACAGAAGTGACCTGCGGACCTGATGGCATCACCAGAGATTTTTAAACTGTGGACAGAGGATCTGTCAGATTGTTACTGCTTAATTTCATACCAACGAAATTTGGAAGTCTTCTCAACTGACAGTCTTACCGACTCAGAAACTGGTTTATGACTTGTCGTGATCTTTAACCTTTGTGTTCTTTCCATTTTCATAGAGTGTGTACTATGACCTTATTTACCTGATTGCTGGTTAACATAGTATACGCCTGACTTTAGAAGCCCATCTGCATCACCCCCGCCTAAGATGAGAGTCAACGGTTTAACTGGATTGACTTGCTATCAGCACTAGATGGTTGGGTTGGATACAACAATTCCATATCAAGAGGAAGATGTTTTAAGATTCCAGGCTATCTCTGCTTTGGAAGAATTGGCTAATGGGATTCCACTCTCTGTTCCAGTCTCAGGTCCCATTCCCTGGTCTCTCTTAGATTAGACAGGCAGGGACCTCAACCCTTGTCAGCAGGAAGCAGTTACTGAAGAGAAGGAAACCCTCCTCCCTCATCACCCTTAGAAGATTTTAGGGATGGGAGTCTCTGAGGGGGGAATGAGGCAGGATAGTAAGAAGCTAGGAAAATTTCTTGGCAAGTAGAATAGGGAAACTGAGACAGAGAGCTGAACACAATGGCTGAGCAGTTTACAGCTAGGTTGGTTCAGGTGGTTAGCTGGGTGGAAGGCCCAGACTGCTTGTCAGGGGGCAAAACTGAGATAAAAAGGATCCCATCCCCATGGTAACCTCTCCTCCCCTGGTCTTTCCTCTCCGGAGACAACATCCAGGACGAAGTTGTGTTTCAGCTCCAGACCCAGAAAAGCAGCAAGATCCGGTGGCCAACATAAGTAGGTCACACTGAACCAGGACTAGCTACAATGACTGAAGACCCCCTGCCCTGCCACTGACTGATTGGAGACCATGACCTGGAAAGGGCGCACCTAGAGAACTGATGCATATTTTGCTGAAAATCTCCCCTGAGACCTCTCCTAATATTTAAACCTGCAAGAGAGAGGTAAAAGCCTCAAGACAAAGGACCCATCCCACCTGTGCTCTCCCTCTGGGGAGCAGCCAGCAACATTCGCTTTCCCTTCTTCTCCCTCAACTTCTTTCTTCACAGGCACGCATGTCCTAAACTCTAAGGCAATGGGCAGCTGGCAGCTTGTCCCACACGGACGATCCCCTGACCTGTCCTTAAAAAGCCCCCTTTTCTCTGACTTCTGGGGTAGGGTCAGAGAGGGCATTCATCCTTCTGAATTAGGCATCAGAGGAGGCAGGACATCCCCCGCAGGGCTGTAAGGGCTTATGACCACCCAGCCTTCGGAGGAACCCATGGGAGACACCTGGGCTTTCCCGCTCAAGGTATTTTATGGGTACTTGGGATCAAGGTCCAGAGTCCCAGGATTGCACTTGTGGGAAGTGAGGATGTCCTTGGTCTTCAAGGACTTAGGTATAAGTGGTAGATCTCCCCTTTTATCAGGGCTGTCCTGGTTGTTCTGTTTGCTGTTCCACACCTGATTGTTTTTGTTCTTTGCCATCCCTTTTGTGGATTCTTCCTGGACTTTCACCTCCATTTCCTTTGGGCCAGGATGTGGGATGTTACCAGATGGGCCCAGCTTCACAACCTTGAATCCCTGCTCAGGTGGTGAAGGCAGGAGAGAAAATCTTTGCTTTGGAGGGGGGATACAGACAGTTCTTGAGGGTCCAAACACTCTAGAATTTCGAGCAGACAGCACAAGCTTCTTTGGAGGGTCCTTCCAGTTCACCAAGGGGAGAATCCCCACAGGGGAGCACATCGTCTTCAGCAGAGGACACTGCCTTCTTGCTGTGATGTAAAAGCCAGAAGCTACAGGTGCACAATCTCTGTGATCAGGGTGCAGGAGCAGCAGGGTGGTCCCGGCCAGGTGGGGCATCATCGCAATGGACCGGGAAAACTGCTGGATGATGGCCACTGGGCAAGGGATGGCGACGGCACCAGCGGCAAAATCGTTGATGAAACTTAGAAATCAAATTGCCCATCTAGAGCCAGATGTGCGCCAAACAAACTGAGAATAGAGCAGAAATGAGAGAGCTTCTCCTTTGCTCCCTACTCCTCTGGGGCTCCAGCACGCACTGAACTAACTGTAGCCAGGAGTTCTGATGTCTATGGAAATGTCAGCAGAGAAAGGCGCATGTGCCACGTCCAGAGTGTGGGAAGAGAGATCAAAGGGCAAGTGTCGGGCCCCAATGGCTGGCTAGTCCCTTCATGACTTCCTAGCCCCTGGGGCCTCCAGTTGCTGGCCCCCCATGAGGGGTGTGTTCCAGGACACCAAGGCCCTACCTGTCAGACCCCCTTCTGCCTGGCCACAGGATCCGCAGGTGCTGCAGCTCCTTACCCACAGTCCAAGAGGCCAGAGCCTGCTCAGTGCCAGTGCTGGAGCCACCCAGACCTTGCCCGGATGTGGCCCACCTCCTCTAGGACCTCCCCAGCTTCTCTCTGAAGCCCGAAGTCAGGTGCACTTTCTCCATAGTTCACCAGCCAGGTGAAAAGTTCTGAGGAGTGGACACGGGGCCCTGACATGACTGGGTGCTGCACCCCACGACGTCCCAGAGAATAGCTAGCAACTATGTGGGGATTGAAACCAAACATGCTGGATTATTGATGCAAAAAAGTGAGTCTTTTCCCCAGTTGCCTTCTTTGGGGGGAAGTAACTTCGCCCTTGTCGGGCACTGGAAAGGATGCAGGGGAAGCATCCCTGCAGCGGCTTCCCTGTCTCACGAAGCTGACAAGCAGTCAGAAGCCTTTGAAAATGCCAGAGGACACAATCAGTTGTATCTACTGACTTGTACTTCTCACTTGACCCTTTGAACAGCCTGGTTCATGAATGAAATAGTTGAAGTGACCTTTGCTTTGGGTATTTAAAACCTTCCAAGTACATGGTCTTTGATCTCAGCCCAGCAATGAATTCTTGGCCACATAATATTAAGTTAAAAACCAGCCGCTTTTGGATGTAACTGGCATCAGACATGGAGACGATGGTGGCAGCAGCAGGAGCAGCTGCATCAGTGGGTTCCCTGTGCGTCACATCCCCCAAAGTAGCCAACTGCACCACCCCCACCCTTTCATGGCTGAGGAGACTCAGGCCACCAGCCCAGGCCTCTGCCTGCTGGAGGCACTTTAACTCCTGCCAGCCACTGGTGTTGCAGCCATTCCAGACTCACTGCCATGTCATGGGTGTCACACCCTGGGTAATGAGAAAACATTGAAGTGGGCTGGATCACCTTTTACAGAAAGGCAGATGAAAGGAGGGAGGAAGGGGCTCGCAGGGAGTGTCCTAAGCAGCCAGGCTGTGGTGCAGAGTGAGTGCACCTTGGGCACCATGCCCAGATGTGCCCAGCCTTGAGGAGCAGCTTTCTCATAAAGTGTCCTCACTGATTCCCTACCATGGACCATCTCCTGGAGGCTCCCAGTACAGAAGGATTGAAGGAGCACAGATAACCATAACTTCATGGGGCACTCAGGCATAACTTTTCAAAATGCTTTAATTTTAGAGATGAAACAGTATTTCCTTAACAAATGTTGGGAACCACCCTGACTGGTATCAGAAGCTGAAACCCCCACCTAGGCTAAGGCTAAGACTAAGGGAACGCCCTTGGAACCGTAAGCCAGCAAGGAGACAAAAGCTTATCTCCCTAGCAGGAATGCTGCTTCTGCTGCTTTATTCATAACTGAACCCCCAAAAGCTTGGTCGGTTAGCCAAAGACGGGTAAGATTCCCCAAGGGGGGAACGACCTAAGACAGACACGATCACTTTGGGAGGCCCCCCAAAAGAAGGAGTTGGGGGGCTGCAGCAAAAGGGGGTGATGGACCCTCGCTCCTCGGCTTTGACATAGCCTGAGTTCTCCTCGTCTGGGAGGAAATCTCCTTATCTCTTGGTTGCCTTAGTTCCCTTGCTCCACCTAAGCCTGAAACAATGACAGGGTGGTACAGCTCTGTGCTGAAAAGGGCGGATTCCCCGGGTGATCAGGCCTAAGAAAGAATATGTAAATTACTGTGAAACCTTCTTTGTTTAGAATGCTCTCAGATGAATGAGAGGGGTCCAAGGAGGAAGTTAGTTTGTTCCTCAAAGTCTTATAGCTCTTTTAACCCGACTCAAAATAGACCGGCAGAGTTCCTTGTTTTCTATGGTTTCTTACTTCCTCCTAATGAGTACTGTACTTTACATGAATTATTATGCAAAATAAGCCCAATAAAAGCAGGTATGGACTGTAAATCGGTGCGCTCCCTACTGGGGGGGGTGGCCATTTCGTCTCTACTTCCCCACAGAAACTGGTCTGTCTCTGTGCATGTTTTTTCTTGCGTGTTATCGTCGAGCCATCCGCAGCGTTCCGTGGTCACTGCTGGCCGGTGACCCACGCACATCAAATAAATAGTGACAGAAGGGCACCAACCAGCATTGGAGCACCATCGCCCTCAGTCTGCACACCAGGCACCAGGCATGCACCATCGCTTGCCTTGCGTCAACAGTGGGGCAGACTGAGACTTCAGAAGGGTGGGGCACATCCTCCTCCTGCAGGTCAGCACTACAGCAAGACTCCATGAGCTGAGCCATTCAAGCTCCCATTGCTGGTTCATACAGGGCAGATGTTACCTCCATACAGGCCTTATGTTGTAACCCTGGACTCAGGGCCCCATGGCCTCTGAAGGATCCACAGTCCCATGTACATGCACGACTCTGTTGAATTCCATGTGGAGCTGAAAAGTCATTAAGACCTTGCCTAATAGAAAACTTAATGATGTGCTGTATCGTTTGCTACTAGTTTCCAATATATTAAATTTTACTTTTTGTGGAGATTGAAATTTCTTTAAAAACAAGTATGTAAGTTGTTCACAGCACTTAGAATGTGTGAGTAATGCAATTTGTGGAATGATTACTGAGTTTGTTAACAAACAGCTCCTTCTATATGGCACACAGGGTCCTGGGCCCATCTGTGGTTCTCTCCGGTGGTGGTGGGAGGGAAAGGAGAGGAGGAGGAGCTAGAACGCAGCAGCTTGGCCTCCAGGACCCCAAAGAGAAGACACACAGCACACAGGGAAGTCGCCAGCCCCTGTAAGCATTGCCTGTCACTGAGACAGGGACAGTCCCCTCCTGCACAGACTGGCTCCCTACTGAGATTCATTGCCTTTGTTTTCTAAATATTCCAGTTTGCTGCTAAAATGCATCTCAAAGCTTGCTTTCTCTGGAGATTGGTACTATTTGCATTACTCTGTTCCTCTCTTTTCACAGCCTTGCTGGGCTAAATATTGCTTTTGTGACAGTGACTCAGCATTGTCAAAAACATTGAGGAGCAGGAGGCATGAGGTCCTCACACACTGTGGGCAACACCCACTGTCCTGATGACTATTACACAGTTGGTCCACCAAGAGGCAGGGACAGCATGTTCTGCTCCTGCCCCCTTCTAGCCTGAAGTACACAGTTTCAAACTTGCTGATGCTTCATGCACAGCCACTGGTCCCTGACCCACCTGTCCTCTGTTCCATGTCTCTTGGTCTCCAGCATAGACCAGCTCCCCTACTGCTCCAGCCTGGCCCACCTCTACTGCATTGTGCAGACTTTTGCTTCTCTGGAGTGGAGGACTAAGCACTTACCTCCATGGTTCCCCGACTTCCAGAGGGCTTGGTTAAGGAATGGAGTCAGACTGTGGTGGTCGTAGTTGAGGAGAGACATTTAGGGATGGAGTCATTGGAAATACCCTTTGTATTCCAGGAAGACATCACCTGGTTGCTCTGATGAGGCCGCTGGGACCCTGCCCTTATCTGAGCCTCCCCTTCTGAGGAGGTGTGGAGAGAGCATTCTCAGTCCAGAAGACTGTCTTCCATCACAGCTCGGGAAGCACAGGGCTCTCTGGGTTCTGTCTGGGCAACTAGTGAGCTCTGCAGATCCACCTTCGTCTTCGTCCCTGGAGCACCCGCAGCAACTCTGATACGGTGGGGTGAGCTCATTTGCTTGTTGTTGTGGAGGTTACTGCTGAGGTTAAGTTTCTTAGGTGACGAGCCATCCTCGTGTTGTATTCCTTTTTAGCTTTATCAGGTTAAACCTGATCTCTTTCTCTCCATTCAGTTTTATGAGGGCTCTATTCTTTCTCTTGAGATACTGAAAGGAAAACCTCACTCTGCTCTGGTTGGGAAGTTTCCCTGATGTTTTGTGTCATTAATATCTGAGGGTCAGCTGGTAATTGAGGTTTTGTGTGAGCGTGGAATACTTGCCATTAGTGACAAATGACAGAAACCAGAGGAAATGGACCAGTAACTGGGGATGAAGACTCCGTGTTTTTAACTTTGAGGCAGGTGGGGTTGCCCTAAAGTCAGAGTAGAAAAATAACTTGTATAATGTGTCATTCAGTCAGGTGTGAGCACTATGCAGGCTTCAGCCCTGAGCTCACCACTCACTTCTGTGTGGCTTTAAGCAGGTTACCTGACCTCTCTGTGCCTCATTGGCTCCTTGGTCTCCGGCATAGACCAGTGGAGACAAGTGGTCTCCAGCACAGACTGGAGAAGTACTAGTATTACCCTTCACAGACTGCTGCAAGTGCAAAATGAGGTGGTTTTGTAAAGCACTCAGAACAGTAACTAGAGCCGAATAATAACTTTGAAATGTTTTCTGATGACTACACATGGTCTCAGTTGCCTGTTCTGTTTGTCATATGGAGAGGACAGAAGAGTCTTTCAGTGAGCAGCCAGCATGAAGTGGTGTAAGTCTTACTCCATGAGCTCTGAGTCCCATGAACCCATGCTATTACTAGGAACCACCATGAACAGTGACACCTTTTGTATAGTTCCTGTTCCTCTCCAGGTTT